TGAACGACGCAAAATTTGTGGAAACAATGACATGCAAGTTAAAGCTTAATTCACAGGAATTAAATATTTTTCCCCGTTTTCCATTACACCTGGTGCCTCGAACCCGCGCCTGAGTTTAACAACTGTGCCAACGTCATTAAAAAGAGATCACTACAATATAAACTCGATTTTTCAAAATTTTGAGTGCAATCTATTCATACTGGGGAAAAAAATCAGTATATAGAATGCCCGGATGGCAGAATGATATATATATATAATAGTTTTTTTTCTGATAGAAAAACATCAAATAATTCTTGTTGTATTCAAATAAGCCATTGTTATTTATTATGTGTACAATTCGCCAGTGATAGAGGTTGTTAAAGAGAGGGACACAATATTTTCTAGTTCTGACACTGAACAAATTCTTTCTAATGTCTGGCTTTTAAGTTCTCAGTTTCCAATTGTGTCTTCCTTGTGTGAGTACCATCCGTGTTAAATAATATGGGTTTATCTACCCTATCCTGAGGAATTTGTAGGTGGTAATCATGTCTCCCCTAACTCTTCTGTCTTCCTGCGACTTTTGGTTCAATTCATGTAGCCGTTCCCAGAACTCTCTCGTAATTCTGGGTTTTGTATGATGGCATATCTTGAGGTTATCTTGAGATGATTTCGGGGCTTTAGTGTCCCCGCGGCCCGGTCCTCGGCCAGGCCTCCACCCCCAGGAAGCAGCCCGTGACAGCTGACTAACACCCAGATACCTACTTTACTGCTAGGTAACAGGGGCATAGGGTGAAAGAAACTTTGCCCTTGTTTCTCGCCGGCGCCTGGGATCGAACCCGGGACCACAGGATCACAAGTCCAGTGTGCTGTCCGCTCGGCCGACCGGCTCCCTCGGCATACCTGTGAACCTTCTCCACCTTCGTCTTGTGCTTAAATTTGGAATTTATGCTGGAGCTGAATACTCCAGGATTGGTCTGACATATGTGGCATACTAGGTTCCGAAGGATTTCTTACACAAACTTTCAATGGCAGCTCTGATGTTGGCCAGCCTTGCATATGCTGATGATTATATCCTTTTGATTTGGGCTATTGGAAACAGGTTCGCCGTTATATCATCTCTTAGATCCTTTTCTCATAAAGTATTTATTTTCCCATTTGGTACCTTATATACGGCCTCCTACTCAAGTCATTTAGCTTCATTACCTTACATTTACTCGAGTTTAAGTCTAGAAGCCATTTGTTGGACCATTCTTTCAATATGTCTAGATCATATTGTAGCCTCTTGCTGTTTACTCTGTCTTAATCCTCCTCATATTTTTGGCATTATCAGCAAACAACGAGAGAAATGAAAATTCCTTCTGACAAAGGGAATAGATTCATGCACTCATGACTGTGCATTGACTCATAGTCATATAAACATGTGTGTGTGTATGTGCATGTGTGTGTGCATGTGTATGTGTGTATTCACCTAGTTCTATTCACCTAGTTGTGTTTGCGGGGGTTGAGCTTTGCTCTTTCGGCCCGCCTCCCAACTGTCAATCAACTGTTTACTAACTACTTTTTTTTCCACACCACACACACCAGGAAGCAGCCCGTGACAGCTGACTAACTCCCAGGTACCTATTTACTGCTAGGTAACAGGGGCATTCAGGGTGAAAGAAACTTTGCCCATTTGTTTCTGCCTCGTGCGGGAATCGAACCCGTGCCACAGAATTAGGAGTCCTGCACGCTATCCACCAGGCTATGAGGCCCCCCCTTAGATTCCTGTATGCGTGTGTGTGGGTGCGTTTGTGGGAGGGGGAGGTTCATGAAATGTTATCTTTAGGCAAGAACATTATTTCATCGTGTATTTTAATTCGTGCGTGTTTAGTGCTCACAACTACGCTCTTCCCCTCCCCCAAGCAGCGGTCGCATGACTACGGAGAGGGCAGACGGTAAATAAGAGAGGGGCAGATAAAAGAGAAGAGGTAAAAGAGAATAGAGACAAAATGAAAAAGGGGAAAACAGGAGAGACAGTGGGAGGAAGAGAAGATGAAACCATGAATCAGTGCATGGAGAGGGGTAGAAGAGACAAAGAGCGAAGAGAAGGTGGGTAGCAAGTGGCAAAGTTGCCTCCCTGTCCTGAATCTCAGTGGGACACCACGTAGCTGCCTCCGTATATATATATATATCAGGCACTACGGGCTCACCATAGCCCGTGCTACTTGGAACTTTGTTCCAGGTAGCAAATCTTTAACAACAACAACAACAACTCCGTATAGGAACCTCCACGCCATCCCACCCTCAGGTAAACGTCAGATTACAACCGACCGAAGTTGCTTTATTTACATCGGTTTTTTTACGAGATCAAAGGGGCGGCGATGGGGGTAATTGGGCGGAGGTGTCTGGCTGTGAGGGAGGAGGCGACGCGCCCTCCTTAATAAGACCTGGGAATTATGAACGGAGGTAATCACAGGACCCCGACACTAATGAGCAAATGGAATTACTGCCAGGTGAACCACCGCCCCTCCACCATCACCCCCTACCACCACCCCCTACCACCACCCCCTACTACTACCCCCTACCACCACCCCCTACCACTATCCCCTACCACTACCCCCTACCATCACCCCTACCACCACCCCTACCACCCCCTATCACCCTCCACCACCACCTACCACTACCCCCCTACCACCACCCCCTACCACTACCCACCTACCACTACCCCCTACCACTACACCCTACCACCACCCCCTACCACCCCCTATCACCCTCCACCACCCCCTACCACTACCCCCTACCACTACCCCCTACCACCACCCCCTACCACCACCCCCTACCATCACCACTCTGCTTCACTTTAAATATTAACGCAATTTCCTTTTCCCACACAAGCTGTGGTTGAGGCTACGGAGGATGAATGATGAAGCAACAGGTGAAAGCTCAATAAATCACATTCTAACAAAAAATGATAATAAATCTATACAATATTAATTGTTAAAAATCATCATTCTTCTCGTAATTCTTATCATTGTTATAAAAAATTGAAATGTAATTGAAATAAAAAACAGTTTTGGTAAATTTTACAGTGAATCTTCCACGTGACTGTTGACTGTTGCACCTGTTTGGTTCCCTGTTGCACCTGTTTGGTCCCCTGTTGCACCTGTTTGGTCCCCTGTTGCACCTGTTTGGTCCCCTGTTGCACCTGTTTGGTCCCCTGTTGCACCTGTTTGGTCCCCTGTTGCACCTGTTTCGTCCCCTGTTGCACCTGTTTCGTCCCCTGTTGCCCCTGTTTGGTCCCCTGTTGCACCTGTTTCCTCCCCTGTTGCACCTGTTTCGTCCCCTGTTGCACCTGTTTGGTCCCCTGTTGCACCTGTTTGGTCCCTGTTGCACCTGTCCCTGTTTGGTCCCTGTTGCACCTGTTTGGTCCCCTGTTGCACCTGTTTGGTCCCCCTGTTGCACCTGTTTGGTCCCCTGTTGCACCTGTTTCGTCCCCTGTTGCACCTGTTTCGTCCCCTGTTGCACCTGTTTGGTCCCTGTTGCACCTGTTTGGTCCCCCTGTTGCACCTGTTTGGTCCCCTGTTGCACCTGTTTCGTCCCCTGTTGCACCTGTTTGGTCCCTGTTGCACCTGTTTGGTCCCCTGTTGCACCTGTTTGGTCCCCTGTTGCACCTGTTTGGTCTACTGTACACAACGGGACTGTTGGACCCCACGTAAGCTCAAGATAATATTTCTGAATCAGCCCTAAATGGCACACTTTAAAAATGGAAAAGTAACTAAAGAACCTAACTTGCCTAAGGCTTAAATAAGTAATTCTTGGCTTAAAATACGTTATTTAAGTAAAATATTTTCACATGAATTAAACACACAAGTCCTAGAAATGTTTAATTTTTTTTGTACCTGTATAAAACTAATTAGTACAAAATGTGAAAATCATTGTCTGCAACAGTCCAATTTGTTGTACGTTCGGGTATATAATTGGTATAAAAATGTCTTAATTTAAAGAGGACGGATTTGAATTGTTCCACCTGGGTAGCGGTTCAATCCCCGACTGTCCATAAGTGGTTGGGCACCATTCCTTTCCCCCCGTCCCATCCCAAAGCCTTTTCCTGACCCCTTCCCAGTGCTATATAGTCGTAATGGCTTGGCGCTTTCCCTTGATAACTCTTTCCCTTCCACGTGGGTAGTCAGCTAGATTGCCGGTGCTCTTAAGCGGGGTCACTGCAACACTGTCTATCAACCTTATCAACATTCTACTGTGTTAAAGCTGTAGAATTCCATTAATTCCATTCCATGCCAGATCTATTACGAGAAAAGCAACTAGGCTTTTCAACTTTCACATTCCGCTCTTTATTATTTTATATCAAACCGGTTTTCTCGTGTTATTCTTCAATCACAGGTTATCGCGTCTCTGTTGACGCACACGTTATTGCATTATCGTATCGCTGTCCCATATACTATCTATAGATACAAAACGAAGCCCCGAGATTGGATTCATGATGCTTCAAAATGCAACGAATCATTACGCTGAGGGAAGAACCGAAGCTTCCTGCAAATCTGGAGCGAATCATACAAATTAACATACAATTCTGCACAAATGAGGAGAGAGCCAAGATCTTAAACACATTACTCAGAGACTCATTATTCAAGTTCAAGTATGTTTACTGAGATAAGAAAGAAATACATCTCAAAGGGATAGAGTAGCTTAGGCTATTTCTACCCCCCCTTCCCCTAGAAACATTATTTACTGTCCTTAATATTTCAACGTCCGGTGCTAACAAACTTTTTATTCACAGGAAGACAGTTTCAATAAAAATGTGTCCAATGCTATCAATGGGAATACATTTCTAGCAACACATCTCTCGGAACACATCTCTAGGAACACATCTCTAGGAACGCATCTCTCGGAACACATCTCTAGGAACACATCTCTAGGAACACATCTCTAGGAACACATCTCTAGGAACACATCTCTAGGAACGCATCTCTCGGAACACATCTCTAGGAACACATCTCTAGGAACACATCTCTAGGAACACATCTCTAGGAACGCATCTCTCGGAACACATCTCTAGGAACACATCTCTCGGAACACATCTCTAGGAACACATCTCTAGGACCACATCTCTCGGAACACATCTCTAGGGCCACATCTCTAGGAACACATCTCTAGGAACACATCTCTAAGAACACATCTCTAGGAACACATCTCCTACATGCACTCAACCTCATACACACTACCAAAGTACCTCCCCCTCATTGCTCAAGCATCATAAACACTTATTACCAGAATGGAAGTGAAAATCTTGCTCGCATCATACCAGCCTCATTTGGAGAAACAAGCAGGTGAGCAAGACATATATTTCTTTTTTTCTGCTAAATACATATTTAATTATATATATACATATATGTATACGAGCATATATATATATATATATATATATATATATATATATATATATATATATATATATATATATATATATATATATATATATATATATATATATAAAGTAGCTGAGAAAGAAAGATAAATGCAGTTAGGAAACCTATATTTAAAATATTAATACATCCTGAAAAGCATTTGTTTGTGAGCGTCTGTGAAGGACAATGTTTGTTTGTGTCTGTGCTCACACACATACACACACTCATACCAGGGGGACTGGTAGCCTGGTAGGGGGCCCTGGCAGCCTGGTGGATAGCGCGCAGGACTAGTAATTCTGTGGCGCGGGTTCGATTTCTGCACCAGGCAGAAACAAATGGGCAAAGTTTCTTTCACCCTGAATGCCCCCTGTTACCTAGCAGTAACCTGGGAGTTAGTCAGCTGTCACGGGCTGCTTCCTGGTGTGTGTACTCACCTATTTGTGCTTGCGGGGGTTGAGCTTTGGCTCTTTGGTCCCGCCTCTCAACTGTCAATCAACTGATGTACAGGTTCCTGAGCCTACTGGGCTCTATCATATCTACATTTAAAACTGTGTATGGAGTCAGCCTCCACCACATCACTGCCTAATGCATTCCATCCGTTAACTACTCTGACACTGAAAAAGTTCCTTCTAACGTCTCTATGGCTCATGTGGGTACTCAGCTTCCACCTGTGTCCCCTTGTTCGCGTCCCACCAGTGTTGAATAGTTCATCCTTGTTTACCCGGTCGATTCCTCTGAGGATTTTGTAGGTTGTGATCATGTCTCCCCTTACTCTTCTGTCTTCCAGTGTCGTAAGGTGCATTTCCCGCAGCCTTTCCTCGTAATTCATGCCTCTTAGTTCTGGGACTAGTCTAGTGGCATACATTTGGACTTTTTCCAGGTTCGTCTTGTGCTTGACAAGGTACGGGCTCCATGCTGGGGGCGCATACTCCAGATTGGTCTTACATATGTGGTGTACAAGATTCTGAATGATTCTGAATGTGTGTGTGTGTGTGTGTGTGTGTGTGTGTGTGTGTGTGTGTGTGTGTGTGTGTGTGGTATGGGAAAAAAAGTAGTTAGTAAACAGTTGATTGAGAGTTGAGAGGCGGGCCGAAAGAGCAAAGCTCAACCCCCCGCAAACACAACTAGTGAATACACACACACACACACGCACACACACACAACACACACACACACACACACACACACACACACACACACACACACACACACACACACACACACACACACACACACACACACACACACACACACACACACACACACATGGGGGGCCTCGTAGCCTGGTGGATAGCGTGCAGGACTCGTAATTCTGTGGCGCTGGTTCGATTCCCGCACGAGGCAGAAACAAATGGGCAAAGTTTCTTTCACCCTAAGTGCCCCTGTTACCTAGCAGTAAATAGGTACCTGGGAGTTAGTCAGCTGTCACGGGCTGCTTCCTGGGGTGTGTGTGTGGGGTGTGGAAAAAAAAATAAAAGTAGTTAGTAAACAGTTGATTGACAGTTGAGAGGCGGGCCGAAAGAGCAAAGTTCAACCCCCGCAAAAACACAACTAGTAAATACACAACTAGTAAACACACACACACACACACACACACACACACATGCACACACACACACATGCACACCGTTCGTATTTGATGAAAGGTAAGTTTCGATAAGGGAATCCTCCCCACTCCCCTTCCCTCCCCCTTCCCTCCCCCTTCCCTCCCCCTTCCCTCCCCCTTCCCTCCCCCTTCCCTCCCCCTTCCCTCCCCCTTCCCATGTACCTGTCAGGGGAAATTATCCCAGGTAGAGTTCTCAATGGGCACTGTCACGGGCGAGTCCAAATTGCCATTAATATCTGTGGGGAGCCGTCACGGCGGAGTAAGTCTCTATAAACAGCAGATAGTGGCGTCAAATTACTTGATTGTGGTGAAATCGTTTATGAAGGTTACATGAACGTGAAGTTTCGCCGGTGTTGCTGAGGCGTGGGCGGCTGTGTGGTGGGGGCGGCTGTGAGGTGTGGGCGGCTGTGTGGTGTGGTGTGGGCGGCTGTGAGGTGTGGGCGGCTGTGTGGTGTGGGCGGCTGTGTGGTGTGGGCGGCTGTATGGTGTGGTGTGGTGTGGTGTGGGCGGCTGTCTGGTGTGGAGTGGTGTGGGCGGCTGTCTGGTGTGGTGTGGGCGGCGGTGAGATGGGGTGTGGACGGCTGTAAGGTACAGTTTGTGGTGTGGGCAGCGGTGAGTACAGACGGAGCGTCCATCCTACTATCCTCTTCCTATCCACCAGCCGTCAAAATGTCTCTGCCATAATCCTCTGGCAATCAGGTTGAAACAGACTGCAAGCTCCGGAAATAAACAACAGGAAGCCCCCAGACCAGCCTTCTCAACCATTTTACCCTTAAAATAATTCCTGGTCGTACATTAAACACACACGATTATCATTGCCAACGGAAAGGAGACGATTTCCATCGTTGCTCTTGAAGCTGGTTAATTAAAAATCAACACAAAAATGACTAAAAAAAACAGCATTTACATAGGATTAGAATTAGCCCATTTATCACTATCTCTTGCAGCACCCCCTTGTTATCTTAGGGGTCCACAGACCCCAGGCTAAGTACCCCTGCCTTAGAGGAACTGTGGATTTACTTCCGACGACGAGATTATCCGGAGGACACTCTACAAGGCAGGAAGGTGGACCTCAGCCACTCATTCAACCAAACCCAAAAGGGCCAAACTCTAATAAGAGAACTATGCTCCAGGCGCTCTTCGTGCCCTCGTCAGCAGGGCCAATTCGCAGGGAAATCCACAAGCTGTGGAAGAGGATTTTCAACACACAGACCACCCGGCCTGGCCGTTCTTTCCTAAATAACCACTCAGGCTGGCGTGGAAAAGGGTAAATCACTTTCTAATGTCCTAGTCCGGCCAGATTTCCAGAAGGTAGACAACAACGAAGGTATGTAAATATATGGAGATCGCTCCCGGACCACAAGAGGAACGACTGGCCTCTTCTGGAAGGGTTGAGGAAGCGTTTTGGGCGCTGTTGGTGAGGTTCTAGAACAAAGTAAGGCTTGAGTTAGGGGGGGCTAGACTGGTGACATACCACTGGGCTCTTTCGAGATTTGTTTCATGTTTAACAAGTTAAATATTTAACAAGTTAAATGTAAGAACTGATCTAGCATATGCCTTTTCAAGGTCGTGAGCGTCATTATTTTTATTTCTAAAATGGGTTACAATGTTTGCCAACCTTGCATATGCCGCTGATGATATTCGTTTGATTTTTGGTGGCAGGTTCGTTTTCATAATAAAACCAGATCTATTGATGTGACTGATTCCAAGAGGGGTTTCCACTCTCATTCAGTTTCTTACTTCAGGGCTTCTGGTCTTCAGCCCACAGCTTAAATAGTCTGCATTTGCTTGAATTAAATTCTACTAGCCACTTGTTGAACTATTCTTTGGCTTTGTCCACGACGCCCAGTGGTTTATTGCAGCCGTCTTTCCTCATGGAGAGAGAGAGAGAGAGAGAGAGAGAGAGAGAGAGAGAGAGAGAGAGAGAGAGAGAGAGAGAGAGAGAGAGAGAGAGAGAGAGAGAGAGAGAGAGAGAGAGAGAGAGAGAGAGAGAGAGAGAGAGAGAGAGAGAGAGAGAGAGAGAGAGAGAGAGAGAGAGAGAGAGAGAGAGAGAGAGAGAGAGAGAGAGAGAGAGGAGAGAGAGAGAGAGAGAGAAGAGAGAGAGAGAGAGAGAGAGAGAGAGAGAGAGAGAGAGAGAGAGAGAGAGAGAGAGGAGGAGAGAGAGAGAGAGAGAGAGAGAGAGAGAGAGAGAGAGAGAGAGGAGAGAGAGAGAGAGAGAGAGAGAGAGAGAGAGAGAGAGAGAGAGAGAGAGAGAGAGAGAGAGAGAGAGAGAGAGAGAGAGAGAGAGACTACAATAATCTACTTATCCTCTCTTATGTTTCAAAAGACATGACAGAAGTTTATAATGGAAAGTTAAATAAATAAGAGTAAATAGACAGAGACTGAGAGGCCTAAAGATCCCTCCTTAGACGTAGAGGGAAGAGGTAGTTCAGTCATCACGTGATAGATCCTAATTTTGGTTATTGAAATCCATATACCACTCATCTCTCGTCACTATAGACGAATGGTCATGAAATAGTACTTATCAAGTTTAAATCCTCCTCCCTCCTCTCCTCTCTCTCTCTCTCTCTCTCTCTCTCTCTCTCTCTCTCTCTCTCTCTCTCTCTCTCTCTCTCTCTCTCTCTCTCCTCTCCTCTCTCTCTCTCTCCTCTCTCCTCATCCCTCTCTGTGTAGTTCCTACGTCTCGCCTCTCTGTATCTCTACTTCTTTCTCGTCTAAGTTGTGGTGTTTCCAGGCTGCCTCGTATAATTTCACGTCCCGCTCCTCCTTTATATGCAAAAGAGCTAGCCGGCATAATAGTTGAAGCCAGCAATAAATGACTGAGGGAGACAAGATCTAGCCGAAAATCAGAGTTGATAATGACATAAGATAGGCTTTACAAAACCAACATGGCGCTCGTCGGCAATCCTTTAAATTACCGACTTGGATCGGCTAAGTGGCGGTTTGGATCCTCCGAGCCCGACCCGGAGGAAGCCCAAATGAAGGGGTTGCGATGCTCACTTGATTGTCGGGGAGGTGCATGGCGGGTAATATCGCGCCGACATATGTATATATATGCTCTAGCCTGCCGTTGTGTTGGTATAACTTGATATACACCTCCCTTCATACACACACCAGGCTTCTCTTTCTCTCTCTCTTGTTCTCTTATTAGCCTCAGGTACGTATAGGGGCTCGAAGACGATGCACAAGGTGTAAATACTAAGATCACGTCCTCTCCCGCTGTCTTCCGTGTTCCCTGCACTGGTAACTGCATTCGTTTCCGTTTATATAGACCGTCGTCATGGTGTCGCGTGAAATAACCATTTAACAGCACCATTACGATGGGTATTTGCTTTTTACGATCTGTGTTTATCACCTGGTGCGCGAGGCTACCAAATTATCTCTTTATGCAAGCTGCTTTGCTGAGGAGAAATTGTCTGGCTGTTTCCTGGCCCAATTGTTCCGGCGGGTATGCGGCTCCGCTGTCACTTTTGTCTATCAAATCTGCCGCACTGTTATCGTATAAGTTAATAGGCCTTTCACTAGCGTGCGGCAACATCTATTGCTTTCTCTCTCCTTGTGTTCTTTCTTCCAACTTATCGTGATTCGTGTTCATCGATACTCTTGTGGAGGAAGATTTTGTCTACTCTTTATGTTCTCTTTTGTGCTGTCTCTCTCTCGCTCTCTCTCTCTCTCTCTCTCTCTCTCTCTCTCTCTCTCTCTCTCTCTCTCTCTCTCTCTCTCTCTCTCTCTCTCTCTCTCTCTCTCTCTCTCTCTCTCTCTCTCTCTCTCTGAATTGATCTGGTTCATGCACTTGTAAAATCAACTTATTTTACCTCTTCCTTTCTTTCTCTATCTCCTTATTTCCCGTTCCGTTCCCTCACATGTCATGATCTCTGTGCTCCACTCGCCCGCGGAAATTATACCTCCCCGGGTATTATATATAATTGATCACCATTAACATCGCGTGATACATTTTTAAACACTTCCCAAAATCATCATTCGCGGATTACGAAGTCATCATTACCGACCTGCCGCGTCTGGACTTCAAAATTGGCGCGAAAAAAGACACCTGGTGGCGGGAAGCGGAAGTTACTCACAGCTGGGGAGGTTTGTCAACATGGCTTGCGGGGGCTCATAAAGAACTTAGTCATGCTTCTGTTATTTACTCACAGAAAGGGTGGCTGTCCCCCAGATTTATTTTATCATAATGGATGGCTGAATTTGCCCCCCCCCCCTGTTATTTTGGTGGAGGCTGGCAGTGGTTGGGTACAAGACTCTAACTACTACCTCACCTAACCTTCCCCCCTTGTCGTTCTCCGCGTGCTCACAAATACTTGGCGATAATTGGTTCTTGGTCCGAGGTCACCCTAGCCACCCGCGATACACAACAAAAATGGGATTAGATAGCTAGCCAGCTTGCAACTCACATTGATTGCAACTGGTGTTTACTATGATTTTTTTTCCTGCAATATATGCTTTTAATATTACAAAGATTTTTTTTTTTACGAACAGTAATGAAGACGATAAACTTATTTTATAACATTACTGCATGCTTCGTAAGGCCGTCTGTCTCATGGCCAAAATTTGGGTACACAGAAATGCAATTTTGTTTACCCAAAAGAAATTCTATCCTTCATAGGAATTCTTCCTTCATATATATAGTGTCAGGATGTGGTTAAGCCTAGGCTTGCCTAGTGAGGGCTTTGCTCTGAACAAATATTGGTACAACTTTAGTAACCTAAATGAACAATAATATACAAAAGTATTCAAAAGTATTTATGAGTTCTTGAACATACTGTCAAATGTAAGTAAATGAACTATATATAATTATTTATATATATCCACCCCCCCCCCCTCTCGTCCTATCCTAAATCCCTATCCTCGTACATGCATATTTGTGTATGCATGTAGTATGTATATATATACATATTCGTGTATTTCTGGAGTGGGTATACCTGTAGGAAAGGTACGCATTATGGGTATGTTTGCATGTTTTCTAAAGAGTTAAAGAGCTCTATGAACAGAACTCTATATTTTAAATATCCAGTAATCGTACATCTGACCTGCTGGTTGAGTCTTTATTCATTTCAACTGACGCTTGATCCTCCTGTAGCCTCACTAATTGGCCTTTCAGTCAACTCATCTACTGACCGCATCTACAGTCACCTCATCTACTGACCGCACCTACAGTCACCTCATCTACTGACCGCACCTACAGTCACCTCATCTACTGACCGCACCTACAGTCACCTCATCTACTGACCGCACCTAAAGTCACCTCATCTACTGACCGCACCTAAAGTCACCTCATCTACTGACCGCACCTACAGTCACCTCATCTACTGACCGCACCTAAAGTCACCTCATCTACTGACCGCACCTACAGTCACCTCATCTACTGACCGCACCTACAGTCACCTCATCTACTGACCGCACCTACAGTCACCTCATCTACTGACCGCACCTACAGTCACCTCATCTACTGATAAATTCAGTTAAGGTGGATATGTACAGCCACCGACTGACAGATCTCCCCAAAAAATCTATGGAGGTACTTCCGTCCGGGGAACCTCGGGCGCCATACGTCAACCAATCATCATTTTTTATCTACTGATTGGCGGGATGGTCGGGTGGGTTAATGGCCGAGGGTTGGGAGGGTGTTTGGTTCGGGACGAGGGCTGAAAAACTATGCATTTGATCCGCAAGAGGAAGGAACAATTGCAGTCTAGGGTGATTACCGCTGTCGTACGTTCTCCGACACCCCGTGTACGTCATCGCGCGTCAGCCTGGTGGACGTGCTGGTGATAATTACAGCTCTAAACGACCATTATCCAGTATGCACGTGGAGCCCTCGCTGTGTGAGTCTGTCTGGCCACTTCCGTCCTTATTAAGTGATATGATCTCGCTGGTTTGGGTGCCTGGGGCGTCTTCCTCTCTCTCGCCTGGAGGGTGGGCGTTGGTCTCGTGGGTGTGGGCGGCATGTGGGTGGGCGTAGGACAATGGGCGTGCATGAAGAGGTGATGACTATTGGTGGTATTGACCAAACCACACACTGGAAGGTGAAGGGACGACGACGATGTTTCGGTCCGTCCTGGATCACTCTCACAATCGACTTGAGAATGAATGGTCCTGGAAGGACCGAAACGTCGTCGTCGTCCCTTCGCTTTCTAGTGTATGGTTTGTTCTACATTTTTCAGCCACGTTATTGTGACTCCTCGCCTGCATATTGGTGGTTTGTGGGCCTCGTGAATGCACGCACGCGGGTGTTCGTGAATATGTGTAGGTGACAGGTGTGGGCAGAGGTGTAGGTGACAGGTGTGGGCAGAGGTGTAGGTGACAGGTGTGGGCAGAGGTGTAGGTGACAGGTGTGGGCAGAGGTGTAGGTGACAGGTGTGGGCAGAGGTGTAGGTGACAGGTGTGGGCAGAGGTGTAGGTGACAGGTGTGGGCAGAGGTGTAGGTGACAGGTGTGGGCAGAGGTGTAGGTGACAGGTGTGGGCAGATCAGGAACCTTACAAGGTTCCAAGGGGTATATATCCGCTGAATCTTTAATATCACTATAACCGCTTCCCGTCGCTTGATTATTTTTATATAAACTCCATTAACGTGAGGATTTGTGTGGCCATTTTTATCCACTGCGACTAATTCTTTTCAGAGTCGTAATTTCTATTTCCTTCAGGTGGGTGTCGCGGGCGGCTGACGGACGCTTCTCACGTTCTTCCTTATTCTTATTTCCACACGCTAATGTTTATTTTGTGTCACAGATCACAGTGTGTACTGCAACCCTGGTTCTGTCCAGACAGAGGTACTACCACCCTGGTTCTGTCCAGAGGTACTACCACCCTGGTTCTGTCCAGACAAAGGTACTGCCACCCTGGTTCTGTCCAGACAGAGGTACTACCACCCTGGTTCTGTCCAGACAAAGGTACTGCCACCCTGGTTCTGTCCAGACAGAGGTACTACCACCCTGGTTCTGTCCAGAGGTACTACCACCCTGGTTCTGTCCAGACAGAGGTACTACCACCCTGGTTCTGTCCAGAGGTGCTACCACCCTGGTTCTGTCCAGACAAAGGTACTGCCACCCTGGTTCTGTCCAGACAGAGGTACTACCACCCTGGTTCTGTCCAGAGGTACTACCACCCTGGTTCTGTACAGACAGAGGTACTACCACCCTGGTTCTGTCCAGACAGAGGTACTACCACCCTGGTTCTGTCCAGACAGAGGTACTACCACCCTGGTTCTGTCCAGACAGAGGTACTACCACCCTGGTTCTGTCCAGACAGAGGTACTACCACCCTGGTTCTGTCCAGACAGAGGTACTACCACCCTGGTTCTGTCCAGACAGAGGTACTACCACCCTGGTTCTGTCCAGACAGAGGTACTACCACCCTGGTTCTGTCCAGACAGGTGTATCATCAGTCAGGTACTGTCCACCTGGAAGTACCACCACTCCTTCTGGTTAAATACCAGGGCCATGTGTCTCTCAGGGTGACCCACCAGGGCCATGTGTCTCTCAGGATGACCCACCGTGGCCATGTGTCTCTCAGGGTGACCCACCGTGGCCATGTGTCTCTCAGGGTGACCCACCAGGGCCATGTGTCTCTCAGGGTGACCCACCAGGGTCATGTGTCTCTCAGGATGACCCACCGTGGCCATGTGTCTCTCAGGGTGACCCACCGTGGCCATGTGTCTCTCAGGGTGACCCACCAGGGCCATGTGTCTCTCAGGGTGACCCACCAGGGTCATGTGTCTCTCAGGGTGAGCCACCATGGCCATGTGTCTCTCAGGGTGACCCACCAGGGTCATGTGTCTCTCAGGGTGAGCCACCGTGGCCATGTGTCTCTCAGGGTGACCCACCAGGGCCATGTGTCTCTCAGGATGACCCACCGTGGCCATGTGTCTCTCAGGGTGACCCACCGTGGCCATGTGTCTCTCAGGGTGACCCACCAGGGCCATGTGTCTCTCAGGGTGACCCACCAGGGTCATGTGTCTCTCAGGGTGAGCCACCATGACCATGTGTCTCTCAGGGTGACTCACCGTGGCCATGTGTCTCTCAGGGTGACCTACCAGGGTCATGTGTCTCTCAGGGTGAGCCACCATGGCCATGTGTCTCTCAGGGTGACTCACCGTGGCCATGTGTCTCTCAGGGTGACCTACCAGGGTCATGTGTCTCTCAGGGTGACCCACCAGGGCCATGTGTCTCTCAGGGTGACCCACCAGGGCCATGTGTCTCTCAGGGTGACCCACCAGGGCCATGTGTCTCTCAGGGTGACCCACCAGGGCCATGTGTCTCTCAGGGTGACCCACCAGGGCCATGTGTCTCTCAGGATGACCCACCGTGGCCATGTGTCTCTCAGGGTGACCCACCGTGGCCATGTGTCTCTCAGGGTGAGCCACCAGGGCCATGTGTCTCTCAGGGTGACCTACCAGGGCCATGTGTCTCTCAGGGTGACCCACACGGGCCATGTGTCTCTCAGGGTGACCCACCAGGGCCATGTGTCTCTCAGGGCGAGCCACCGTGGCCATGTGTCCCTCAGGGTGAGCCATCAGGGCCATGTGTCTCTCAGGGTGACCCACCATGGCCATGTGTCTCTCAGGGTGACCCACCGTGGCCATGTGTCTCTCAGGGTGACCCACCGTGGCCATGTGTCTCTTAGGGTGAGCCATCACGGCCATGTGTCTCTCAGGGTGAGCCACCGCGGCCATGTGTCCCTCAGGGTGAGCCACCGCGGCCATGTGTCCCTCAGGGTGAGCCACCAGGGCCATGTGTCTCTCAGGGTGACCCACCATGGCCATGTGTCCCTCAGGGTGACCCACCGTGGCCATGTGTCTCTCAGGGTGACCCACCGTGGCCATGTATCTCTCAGGGTGACCCACCAGGGCCATGTGTCTCTCAGGGTGAGCCACCGTGGCCATGTGTCTCTCAGGGTGACCCACCACGGCCATGTGTCTCTCAAGGTGAGCCACCGTGGCCATGTGTCTCTCAGGGTGACCCACCACGGCCATGTGTCTCTCAGGGTGACCCACCGTGGCCATGTGTCTCTCAGGGTGAGCCACCACGGCCATGTGTCTCTCAGGGTGACCCACCACGGCCATGTGTCTCAGGGTGAGCCACCGTGGCCATGTGTCTCTCAGGGTGACCCACCACGGCCATGTGTGTCTCAGGGTGACCCACCGTGGCCATGTGTCTCTCAGGGTGACCCACCACGGCCATGTGTCTCTCAGGGTGACCCACCACGGCCATGTGTCTCTCAGGGTGACCCACCGTGGCCATGTGTCTCTCAGGGTGAGCCACCACGGCCATGTGTCTCTCAGGGTGACCCACCACGGCCATGTGTCTCAGGGTGAGCCACCGTGGCCATGTGTCTCTCAGGGTGACCCACCACGGCCATGTGTCTCTCAGGGTGACCCACCACGGCCATGTGTCTCAGGGTGAGCCACCGTGGCCATGTGTCTCTCAGGGTGACCCACCACGGCCATGTGTGTCTCAGGGTGACCCACCGTGGCCATGTGTCTCTCAGAGTGACCCACCACAGCCACGTCATAGCTTAGCCTGTCTTCAGGATGAAATATTTACACGTTTAAAGATTATGGGCGACTAATATACAAAGGCAGTACAATGGCTGTTTATTCACTAGAAGTCTAATCCATCGCCAGGCACAAATGGCAACATCGGGCGGGAATAAACTATGTAAGTTAATATTGTTCTCTCTTACATTTTTTGTTCGTATCCAATGTCGTTGAAATGATATATTATTTTATAATTAATGTTATATTTCCATGCGAGGAGTTAGTGGTGGTAGTTAAGAGGCCAGCAAGTCTTGGTGGAGATTAGCACATAATTCCTCTGACGCCAAGAAGGCAACACTGCCTCAGGGGTTGGACCAGTGTTGCAAATGTTGTGCCTTTAGAGTGGCTTCGTCAGCAGCTCCTGTGTAAACCTTGATGAAACCTGTCTACACTTGTGGTTTTTAGAGTCACTGCTGACTCTAACGCACGCGTTTCCTGATAAAGGTATCAATAAAAAACCTTTAAACACAGAGAAGTTCGTCGCCTTGAGACACGAGAAAGGGAAAAAATCTTGCAAGCGGGCGAAGTCTTTTAAAAATAACGCGGGGAAGGGGTTAAACCTTTTGTAACAATGGTTCGGTGGCAGGAAAATTACAATGATTATCATGGGAAATTTATGCCATGATGAAGGCCTGGGCGGGTGGGTCCTGGCCCCATAAATTACCCATCGCCGGAGGAGCTCCGGTGACAGCAAGAGAGGACACGGCTGTTGACAGCTCCCTCGCCCCTGCGACCTCCTCCTCGCGCACAGGAAATACTACAAAGTCGAATTCTTAGGCAGTGGAGACGGGGGGAGACTTATTTGTTGATATTTAAGCTATGTGGGTTTTTATTAACCTATTGCTGTCATTCCCGTGTGGACTTTGCCATTACCAGGGCCAAAATTCAGCAAGCAATTATGCAGCCGATTACGAAATCTGTGCATCTTTCTTGAATCATATGGCGGCTGTGTGTTCATGTATTTATCATGTGGTCAGATATGCTGCATGTGGCATGAGCAACTGTATGTGTTCTGAACAGCTTTATGTTGTCCATGTAGTCTGAGCAGCTGCATATGGTACAAACAACTGCACATGTTTTAAGCAGCTGCGCATGTTCTGAGCAGCTTTATGTGGTTCGAGGTGCTGCACGTGGCCTGAACAGCTGTGTGCGATCTGAGCAGCTGCACGTGATCTGACCAGCTGCACGTGGTTTGAGCAGCTGCACGTTGCCTCAGCAGCTGCACGTGGTCTGAGCAGCTGCACGTGGTCTGAGCAGCTGCACGTTGCCTCAGCAGCTGCACGTGGTCTGAGCAGCTGCACGTTGCCTCAGCAGCTGCACGTGATCTGACCAGCTGCACGTGATCTGAGCAGCTGCACGTGATCTGAGCAGCTGCACGTGATCTGACCAGCTGCACGTGGTCTGCGCAGCTGCACGTGGTCTGAGCAGCTGCACGTTGCCTCAGCAGCTGCACGTTGTCTGAGCAGCTGCACGTTGCCTCAGCAGCTGCACGTGGTCTGAGCAGCTGCACGTTGCCTCAGCAGCTGCACGTGGTCTGCGCAGCTGCACGTAGTCTGAGCAGCTGCACGTTGCCTCAGCAGCTGCACGTAGTCTGAGCAGCTGCACGTTGCCTCAGCAGCTGCACGTGGTCTGAGCAGCTGCACGTTGCCTCAGCAGCTGCACGTGGTCTGAGCAGCTGCACGTTGCCTCAGCAGCTGCATGTGGTCTGAGCAGCTGCACGTTGCCTCAGCAGCTGCACGTGATCTGAGCAGCTGCACGTTGCCTCAGCAGCTGCACGTGATCTGACCAGCTGCACGTGATCTGACCAGCTGCACGTGATCTGCGCAGCTGCACGTGGTCTGAGTAGCTGCGTGTGATATACTCCAGGGGCACCGCTTCTCCACCTTTTGACTGACACGCATAAAAACCAGTATGACGGATTTTGTTTGGTGGAGATGACAAGTGACAAGCAAGGAAGGCTGCGGTGGCAGGTTTGTCAGTCACCTTTGTTTTGCACGATGGCTGGTCTCTGGAGGATTTAAGAATCCATTTCCTTCGCTTCCTAATCCGCCTTCCCTTCTCCCTTTCCTGTCTTATGTGTTTTTTGGAGAATATCGGAGGGTTACAAGAACCTTGATAAAAAGGGTGAGAAAGATGGTGGAAAGGGCGGTCTTCGTACGTGTGGTACGAACGGAGTTTATCATTTCCAGGATAGTTAAGACTGTTTTTTTAAGATGGTAGTTAGGTTTGAGGGATCTTCCCGGATCTAGGAATCGAGTCTTCGTGCGTGGGTTGTCTCTGAAGATGTCGGTTGGTACTGGCTGAAGGTTTGGAGGAACGGCTTGACTGAATAGTGAACTGATAGGAATATTGCATTCTAAAAATCAAAGACGAATGCTTTGATGTTATCTTGAGGTTATCTTGAGATGATTTTGGGGTTTTTTAGTGTCCCCGCGGCCCGGTCCTCGACCAGGCCTCCACCCCCAGGAAGCAGCCCGTGACAGCTGACTAACACCCAGGTACCTATTTTACTGCTAGGTAACAGGGGGCATAGGGTGAAAGAAACTCTGCCCCATTGTTTCTCGCCGGCGCCTGGGATCGAACCCGGGACCACAGGATCACAAGTCCAGCGTGCTGTCCGCTCGGCCGACCGGCTCCCTCAATACATGGTGGATACATTGCGTACGAGCAGAGATAGACACACCTGCAAGCGTGCAATCAGCACAGTACACATCTGCAGGAAGTTCAATAGGAGCATCTGTAAGAAAGGTGTCAACGTGACTTACAGAAGAAGGGCAACTGATGAAGGGCAACTGATGAAGGGCAACTGATGAAGGGCAACTGATGAAGGGCAACTGATGAAGGGCAACTGATGAAGGGCAACTGATGAAGGGCAACTGATGAAGGGCAACTGATGAAGGGCAACTGATGAAGGGCAAAATCGTCAACCCATCAGATAATAAGGTAGTCCATCAGCCTAAACGCTGGTCGGGAGAGAAGAGACCTTCTAGGACAACCAGAACAAAAAGTGTCTTACATTGTACAAGCTTGCAAGCACAGGGAAGTAGAGCAAACGTGTCTAGGCGAAGTTACTTTTTCACCTCGATACCTGGTACCAGAGGTACCGCAAGGTGCATAGTACCGCAAGGTGCATAGTACCGTCAGGTGCATAGCTCCGCAAGGTGCATAGTACCACAAGGTGCATAGTACCACAAGGTGCATAGTACCACAAGGTGCATAGTTCCGCCAGGTGCATAGTACCGCAAGGCACATAGTACCGCCAGGTGCATAGTACCACAAGGCACATAGTACCGCAAGGCACATAGTACCGCAAGGGCTAGTCAATGTAACCAGGAACGCACTTTCTCCTTCCCTATAATTCATAGTTTGGAACGAAGCGAAGTTCCAAAAAAGTGAAAACATGGTCATCGTTCTGGAGGTCGTCAAAGACCCCGCCATACAAGGTCAAGGTAAATGCAAAAGTTAAGATCAATACAAGATGACTTAAGAGTGCAAGAGTGAACGTGAGTCGACGCACCGGTATTTAAGAGACAAGGAAGAAGACAAAATCCCCCAAAACACGGCCACATTTAAAATCACCCAAACAGTGTAAGTAGATAATCTAAAATGAATTTAAAATCAACATGATAGATCAGGTATGACCACAAACTGATTGACAAATGCTAAACATCAATTCCAACCACAGAAAAAACCTTGAGACTAAATACTGAAGTTCAGAAAAATTAGTATAAAACTGTGTTTGCTGCATTGAATAAGATATGTGTAAAGAATGGAAAGAGGGTGATAAGAGACGCAAATCAAACAAATTGGTAAATCTACCGGCAACTAAGGGTCATGATTGGTTAAATCAAGGGCAGGCGGCATCTGTAAGTAAAGGACACCACCTTAGAAGAAGGATAGAAGCTCAATCGTGCAGAATGATTGGGAGAAAGGGAGAAACCAATCACATAAGGGAGAAACAAATCACATAAGGGAGAAAGGGAGAAACCAATCACATAAGGGAGAAACCAATCACAAAAGGGAGAAACCAATCACATAAGGGAGAAACCAATCACATAAGGGAGAAACCAATCACATAAGGGAGAAAGGGAGAAACCAATCACATAAGGGAGAAACCAATCACATAAGGGAGAAACCAATCACATAAGGGAGAAAGGGAGAAACCAATCACATAAGGGAGAAACCAATCACATAAGGGAGAAACCAATCACATAAGGGAGAAACCAATCACATAAGGGAGAAACCAATCACATAAGGGAGAAACCAATCACATAAGGGAGAAACCAATCACATAAGGGAGAAACCAATCACATAAGGGAGAAACCAATCACATAAGGGAGAAACCAATCACATAAGGGAGAAAGGGACATTCGTATCAACGTACCAACGTACGAAAATGGAGCTGGAGGTCATCAACAACAACATTCTGGTCAGTATAATGTTGGTACAGCCAACGTGTCACTGAACGTGGGAGTGCACACGGTGTAAAAGTGGAA